AATCAATCAATCAATCAATCAATAAATGTGAAATTTACGAAACTTACTTGGCTGCACTGTCCCTCCTGGGACCTATGATCATCACTGGTGATTCTTCCCAGGTGGTCTCTGACAAGCAAAGTCAATGGGGGAAGCCATTGTATTGCTTAATGACAATATAAATCACTTAACAATGGGAGAGATTCGCTTAACAACCGTGGCAAAAAAAGGTGGTAAAATAAGGCATGACTCACTTTACAACTGCCTTGCTTAGCAACGGAAATGGGAAATTGTAGTCGTAAGTTGAGGACAACCTATAACATCTGTAAAGATGATAAATCAAGCCAGGGAGAATCAAAAGTAAGATATGATGGCAATATCAATATCGGTTTACTTACAAATGAGCTACTGTAATCCGTTTTAAAAGCTAATGGTGCTAGAGGCCATTAAAACATTTAGTTATATCATAATAATACTACCAATTAATTATATATGGTGCAGACATTTATTGATTTTAATTCCAGCCAAAGGCAATGGATTCTACTGTCAAACTGAACTACAAATATCTCTGATGTATCCTGATTGAAATTAATTTAGCCACAAATTTAAAACCAGAAATAAGGAAAGATATTGATTAATTCCAGACATCCATTGAGCTGCAATGATTTTCTGATACACAATTTGGAATCACATTGTCCTTATTTTACATTACGTTTAAGGCTTCTCTTTTAACTCCAAAGTACTACTGTACTTCACCTGAACTGATACTTGACATTTAGCATGAAATATATTTCTTCAGATAATGTTATTCCAAGTGATCTTACTTACAGCCTGGCACCCTTGTGTATCTTAAAAGGGCCCTTTCAAGAAAGGGAATTAATAACAGAGCTGCGTAAAATCCTCTCAATCACTTGTTTCCTTTGTATTCAGCTTGAATAAGTAGGGTTAGAATATTTTATTGATTTGGTAGGAGCCTATTCTCTACTGAAAATCCACTATTTGAGCTTTTTACAGTGTTTTGAGTCAATATTAAGTAAAATATTCTGCCTTTAATGTATTTTGGGTCAACGGTAAGTGAAATCTTGATTCCTAGAGGCTTTGAACCCCGTTTCACACATTGTCAAAAATTATGAAAACACGGAAAACATGCAAGATTAATTAAGACACAGTTCTTCAGAAAAGGGTAATAAATATTTTTCACAGCCCTCCATGAAACAGCAACAAATTCTTCATTATTAAAAGGTCATTATTCCTTTAAAAAAATTATGAGAAGACATTAGCATATGTTTAGAATGCATTAACTCTTACATTCTACATGATTGACTTTCTGTGTCCTTTTTCAGACTTCTGTTTCAAAATAACGGTGTTACTCTTTGAAAAGTTGTGCCTGATTTTACTTTTCGTCCTAAACTGTAGGAGCAGCCCTGATATACATTTGCTTTCCAATATCATTTGAAAAGAAATTATAACTGTTAAGGTTCATTTTCTCAGTACAATTATATATTTTGATTGCCAGTCAATTATAAAGTTTTCTTTTACATTCACTGTTTTATTTGTCAGATTTGTAACCCAAACCGTAATGCAGGAATGCACAATGGTGTGTGTTGCATTCCCCTTTTTCAATTTCCCCACTAATAATAACTGAGAAAATATTTGGCCCAAAGTCCTTCAGCCACCTTCCATGGCCAAGGGTGGATTCGAAACTGGATCTTTTTCATAGTGACCCATCATCTTAATCCATGGGGGATTTTTTTTTCTTCAAAAGGGGAACTGGACTGTTTTTTCTTTGAGGAAGAAGAAGACATTTTGCTTCTCATCCAAGGAGCTTCTTCAGTTCTAATAGCGGGGGGAATGGAAGTTTTCTTTTTCCCACCATCCGAACCAATGAAGCTCCTTGGATGAGAAGCGAAATGTTTTTCTTCTTCTTCCTCAAGGAAAAAACAGTCCAGGTGCCTTTTGAAGAAAAAGAAAAAAAAAGCCCCTTTGAGATGGCAGTTGGATCTATCACCGACATTATCCTGACTGACTGAAAAATTCATTGCTTTTGACAAAGCAGCTGAGGAAAGGCTTCAAATATTCAGAGGAGGACAACAGAAGGGCAGAACCAAACTGATTATGCATTTTGCAGCCGACAAAACTCTAAGGAATTGTAATTTCTGCATTTGTTAAATGAAAGGGATGTGCTCCTAAGAGCACTCCTGCTGTATATAAATAATGAACCAGCCGACCAATTATAAGAGTATCTCTGTAACAGGCCAATCAGTTCATGGGAAAATGCCCAACTCTGAAGCATTTCCAATTCATTTGATCACAGTACCACTTGGCCACCTATCACAGAAACATTGAACGCCAGAGTTGGGATCACCCACTCCAATTCCCTGCAGAAATTTGACAGAAAATCAGTGAGGGAGGGATGGGGAGGAAGTGTGGGAAGTGACTGATTGTGTGTTTGTGAATGTGTATAATGAAGGAAGGGAGGGAGGGGGAGAGAGAAAGAGGGAGGGGGAGAGAGGGAGGGAGAGGGGAGAGAGAGAGAGGAGAGAGGGAGGGAGGGGAAAGAGAGAGAGAGGGAGAGAGGGAGAGGGGGGAGGGGGAGAGAAAGAAAGAGAGGGAGGGAGGGGGAAAGAAAGAGAGAGGGAGGGAGGGGAGAGAGAGAGAGAGAGAGAGGGAGGGAGGGGGAGAGAAAGAGGGAGGGAGGGAGGAGAGAGAGAGAGGAAGGGAGGGAGGGAGGAGGGAGGGGGAGAGAAAGAGGGAGGGAGGGGGAAAGAAAGAGAGAGGGAGGGAGGGAGAGAGAGAGAGATGGAGGGAGGGAGGAGGGGAGAGAAAGAGAGAGGGAGGGAGGGAGGGGGAAAGAAAGAGAGAGAGGGAGGGAGTGGGAGAGAGGGAGGGAGGGGGAGGGAGGGGGAGAGGGAGGGAGAGAGGGAGGGGAGAGAGAGAGAAAGGAGGATGGAGGGAGACAGAAAGAGAGAGGGAGGGAGGGAAAGGGAGAGAAAGAGAAAGAGAGAGAGGGAGAGGGAGTGGGGGAGAGAGAGAGGGAGTGGGGAGAGAGGGAGGGAGGGAGGGAGATTCTTCTATGACACTTAAGGCTATATGGCTTACTGTCTAAAATGATATCATTTACTTAAATAGAACTGTATTTAATTCACTAAATATACCTTCTTTATCCCTTAATCCGTTTTGAGATTTTTTTGACAGACAATTTGTCGCAATTCAATAAAACACATGAAAATCCCTTAAACAAGATGATTTCGTTGAAGTGTAAAATAAATATGAAGAAAAGCTCAAATCATAGCAAGTGCTGCGATGAAAATATGCATTTAATCTGGGCTTGATCTGAGTGAAGCAGAGGAAGAAAAATTATTGGGGGAAAAAAGCTTATTTAGAAGCAAAAAGCTGCCAGAGGACAAAACTCACTATACAGGGGATCTCTAGAGAACAGCCTCCCCAAGACTAAACACTGACATTTTTATTTACTCTGGAAAAAAAAAATGAAACAGTGAGTTTTGCCTTGTGGTGACATGAATTTTTCCTATGGGTATTCTTTTACATTTCCACACTTATATTCTGCAGGTGTATCCTCAAATTCCAAGTGTGGTCATCGCTCTATATTTTCCGCAGACATTTGGTTTGCCAAATTCAGCTAAAGTGAACCTGAGCCAAAAGGCAGAAAATTGTTATGTCCAGTGGGCACACTTGGAACTTTGAGAATATTTATGTATTTTACTTATATCCCACTTTTTATTATTTTTACAAATAACTCAAGGTGGCAAAGATATCCAATACATGCATATCTTCTTCCTGTTTTCCTCACAACAACCCTGTGAGGTAGGCTTGGATGGGAGAGTGAAAATGAGTGGCTCAAACTCACTCAGATGGTGTCCATGCCTAATGCAGGACTTGAATTCACCATCTCCTGGTGATTGGCCCAAAGTCATCCAACCGGCTTTTATGCTTACGGTGGGACTAAAACTCCCAGTTGCCCAGTTTCCAGTCTGTCCCTTAACCACTAGACTGAACTGGTTCTCATATTCTGTGTATATTGGACAGAGACTTAGTAATTATCACATATTGTCACTTACCTTTCCTTCAGTAATTCAAGCCTCTAGACTAGTTCTTGCATATATTCTTATATATATAATTTCCATACTTACGTGTATGTATATGTGTGTGTTGTGTGTGTGTATGTGTATGTATATGTATATGTATATGTATGTATGTATGTATATATATATATTTGTCTATATAAGTTTTCATGGGTATATATGTGTGTACAGTTAATATTTCGGGTTTCTTCCCGTGTAATTAATTCCCGTGTGAACATATCCCTAAAAGGGTAGAAGCGACGTTTCGACAGAATCTCATCTGCCATCATCAGGCTTATGTGAGATTCTGTCGAAAAGTCGCTTCTACCCTTTTAGGGATATGTTCACAATTACACGGGAAGAAACCCGATATATTAACTGTACACACACACACACACACATATGTATATGTATATGTATATGTATATGTATATGTATATGTATATGCATATGCATACACACACACACACACACCCCAGTGGTGGGTTTCAAAAATTTTTTACTACCAGTTCTGTGGGCGTGGCTTTGTGGGCATGGCAGGGGAAGGATACTGTAAAACCTCCATTCTCACCCCACTCCAGGGGAAGATTACTGCAAAATCCCCATTTCCTCCCAATCAGCTGGGAGGCAGAGAATAGATGGGGGTGGGGCCAGTCAGAGGTGATATTTACCGGTTCTCCAAACTACCGCTACCGGTTCTCCAGAACTGGTCAGAACCTACTGAAACCCACCTCTGATACACACACACACACATACATACATATACATACACGCTATAGTTAACGACAACCCAGCAAAGCACTCTTCAACTGTCCAGGCACTTCTATTTCTGAAACATTTTCCTCATGCACGTGAGAACTCAAGACTGCATTCATTACAAGTCCGCACAAAGAAAGTGCAATAAAATGAAGAGGCAGCCTTCTCAGAATACATCCTAACCTGATAGATAACCTTCTTCTTCCCATCTTCATCCGACTGAGGTAACATCAAGGGTCCTGAAACAATCCAGATGTCTTCAAATCTTTCAGTCAGCTCCCGGCAATACATCTCCACTCTGTAAATATGTCAAACAGACCACGTAAACTGATAGGCTGGTTCCTTTAATAAAATATCTCACCTCACCCTCTAAAGTAATGGTGTCCAACCTTGGCAACTTTGAGACCTGTGGACTTCAACTCCCAGAATTCCCCCCCTCCTGTATTGCAAAATGCCATTATTTGCATGAGGTTTGAGTTGCACTACTAGCAGAGGTGGGTTTCAGCAGGTTCTGACCAGTTCTGGAGAACCGGTAGTAAAAATTCTCACTGGCCCAGCCCCCATCTATTCTCTGCCTACCGAGTCCCAGCTGATCGGGAAGGAATGGGGATTTTGCAGTATCCTTCCCCTGGAGTGGGGTGGGAATGGAGATTTTACAGTATTCTTCCCCTGCCACGCCCACTAAGCCACACCCACAGAACCGGTAGTAAAAAAAATTGAAACCCACTACTGACTACTAGGTGTTACTCCATAGAACAATGAGCTTCCAAACATAATAACTCTATTTACTTCTATTTTTCTACTTTTATCTTTATTTCAAGGTGAATTGTACATTGTGAGAAGCAAATTTTAGCCATTTTAAACATTTCTATAAGCGCAACTTTAAAACTGCAACTCCCCCACCAGGGAAGAGGGAAAAAAAGTTGGAGTACGCTTTGCTCTAAAAACAAAAACTTTCAGGTTTCTGCCTGATGAAGCAGTTCTGAAGGTGGTTTTTTTCCCTCAGCATCATCATTTTCCAATGCACAAGTATCTTGGGGAGGGGGGAAAAACGCAAAGTAATTTATTCAAACTTGTATCCACTGATTTACATTCATTCCTTTCCTTGGGGAAGTTATTAGTGGTGGTATTTTAGTGACATTAAAGCTTTGCCTCTGAAGAAGTCATCACCTCAGTTGCATTGAAGAGCAGTGAGTGGTTAGAATGCAGTATTGTAGGCTGACTCTGCCGACTGCCAGCAGTTCGAATCTCACCAGGCTCAAGGTTGACTCAGCCTTCCATCCTTCCGAGGTGGGTAAAATGAAGACCCAGATTGTTGGGAGAAATAGGCTGACTTGGCTTACAGAGGGCTATAAAGCACTGTAAAGCCGTATATAGGGCTAAGTTATATTGCTATTGGATTTGCATTCAGTTGATAGGGAGGAAACAAGGAAGGGAGTGAGTTGGATAGATAAGAAATACAATGAATGAATGAATGAATGAATGAAAGGATGAATGGATGGATGGATGGATGAATGAATGAATAAATGAATGGCTTGCACCTTACTGAGGGATTAGAGGTAAGAGCCATCTCTTTACAGGTGGCAAACATAGGACTGACGGTTCACGGACTCGCCTGCATCACTAGCTACCAAATTAACAAAAAATATTATCAATAAAGGAGAATATTTGTAGGTGAGGATTGAAATGAGGGCTCCTCGGTGCTCCCTGAGCTTGGTTGTTTCCTTGCAGAAGTTTCATTACCCAAACTAGGTAACATCACCAGTGCTAGTGATGGTGATATTATTTATTTATTTATTTTATTAGTCATATTTCTATGCCGCCCACTCTCCGAGGACTCTGGGCGGCTTACATCAAAGACAGTATACTAAATAGCATATTGCCCCCTAATAATCTGGGTCCTCATTTTACCCACCTCGGAAGGATGGAAGGCTGAGTCAACCTTGAGCTGGTGAGATTTGATCCGCTGATCTGCTGAACTAGCAGTCAGCTGAAGTAGCTGCAGTACTGCACTCTAACCACTGCACCACCTCAGCTCCCTAATTAACTAGTTTGGGTAATGAAGCATCTGCAAGAAAACAAGCAAGCTCAGAGAGCACCGAGGACCCCTCAAAGATTATTATCCCCACTGTGTGTCCCAAAGATGCTTTCTTTCAAAAGGCAGGTAGACTTTCTTGCTTTGCCAGAAGACATTTCGCTTCTCAACCAAGAAGCTTCCAGAAACTGGAATCTCCATAGACATTTATCATAGTGTTTCCCTTGCTTGAAACGAACTAATTCTGTTTCTTGGCAGCGTGGATCTAATTCCTCAATTTCTATCCACTTTCATTAGATCTGTGTATCTTTTAAAGCAAGGGTCCCCAACCCTGAGTCCACAGCCCGGTTGGGAACAGGCCACACGAGTGGCCATGAAGCTGCATTTGTGCAAGCGGAGCGTGAAAAACCATCCCCTCTCCCTCCCCCACCATTGGTCCAGAGCTGGAAAGGTTGGAGACCACTGCCTTAAAGTGTTATGCACCATGAGTATTCAAGAAGGGAGCTATTACCGTATTTTTCGGAGTAAAAGACGCACCTTTTTCCCCCCTAAAAGGGGGTGAAAAATTAGGTGCATCTTATACACCAAATGTAGCCCTGCCCACCCACTGGCCCCCACCCTTTGGCCTCTGCCTCCCAGCAGTTACCTCCTTGTAGCAAGCAGCAAGAAGAAACAGCTCCTTTCAGCTTCAGCACAATCTAATTAGCACAAGTTGATTGGATCGGCCTCACAACTCTCAGTTGATTTGATCTCAGCTGTTTTGCACCGGCCTCTGCTGCTTGCTGCAAGGAGGTAAATTGCTGGAGCAGATTTTTTTTCCCCTTGTGCTAATCAATCTATGCTGAAAACGAAACTGAAAGTAAAGCAGGCTGTTTGCTGCAAGGAGGCAAAATTGCTGGGAGGCAGAGGCAGATTTCTTTTTGTTTTCCTCACCAAAAAAGGTAGGTGCATCTTATAGTCCGGTGTGTCTTATATTCCGAAAAATACAGTATATATTGTCTCCACTCACACACATACACATAGAGAAACTCTGGATTAACGTGTCCACCATACATTCTGGGTAAAAATTCTCTCACTGGATGAGGAAGTTGCAGAGGCTTTTGGGGCCAGATCATCCAAATTCAAATAGCATAGATGGTCCTTGACTTACAGCCATTCATTTAGTGACCGCTGAATGTTGCAACGGCAATGAAAAACCGGTCCTCATAACTGTTACAACACCCCCATGATCAGTGATTAAAACCTAACAAGAATTTACAACTGGTGTTGCCCTTTGCCCTTTGCAACCTTTCCAGCTAGCTTTCGACAAGCGAAGTTTACGGAAAAAGCCAGATTTGTTTAACGACAAGATTCATTTAACGATCACAGTGATTTGTTTAACAACTATGGCAAAATAGTTCATAAAATCAGTTGCGATTCACTTAACAACCGTCTTGCTTAGTTACAGAAATCCTGGTTGCAACTGTGGTCGTAAGTCGACGACCATGCTTTCTTTCTCTGAGAACATTTTTACATTTTTCCCCCCTCTGATCTTTTCCCCTCAACTTGAAGTGTTTCGCTTATTTTGGTTATTCTTCCTTCCAATTCCGGTTGAAGTGTGATGATAACATTGAAGCAAAACTCATCCTGTTTTTGGTATACCTGTTAAACACACCCACCTATTCCAGAAACCAGCATTATTCTCATAGTTCTGAGGCACGATGTTGGATAGATAAAATGTTTCTGCCATGGCTTCCTATTTTAAAAAAATAAGAATTAAAATTGAGTTTCTGATGGATGCCTACATTAGTTAAGAACTCAGAATTAAGCATCATATTAGCAGAACTAAGTTAGACATCAAAGCAGAGCTTGTGTTCGGTAGAATATTAATAGACTGATCTATAATTCTTACATCAGTCAGCATTACAGGGCAGGGCCAGATCCTTCAAATTCCTTTTTTTTTTTTTTAATAATTTTTATTACAATTTTCTGTTACACAACTCTAGTACATAATCAATTGTGTCATTTTTGTATACTTCGGAACAACATTCCATACAATATATACATTATATACATTCAATATCTAATCCTCAATAGCCTTATGTATATTTCCAATTTTTATTTCTATTATCTATCCAAGTGTACCATTTTTCCCAAACCGCTTAAAATTCCGAATCATCTTTTTCTTTTAGTTCTAGGGTAAGTTTATCCATTTCGGCACGTTCATGTATCTAGATCCTTCAAATTCTGTCTGCTTTTTAATCAACTTGCTTCCCTTCCCTAAAAACCTAGGTACAAAATTGCAGAGATTCCATAAGATTCACGTCATTGTTTGGCTGTTCTCTAATGGATTTAGGAATCAGATTCCAATGTTAAGCATTTTTATTTATTATATCCTGTCTTTATTATTTTTTTAAATAACTCAAGGCAGTGAACAAATCCAACACATCTTCCTCCTCCCATTTTTTTCTACAACAGCAACCCTGTGAGATGAGTTGGGATGAGAGAGAGAGACTGGCCCAAAGTCACCCAGCTGGTTTTCCTGGCTAAGGCAGGACTAGAATTCACAGTCTCCTGGTGTTTGGCACAAAATCACCCAACTGGCTTTCATGCCTAAGGCGGGATTGAATTCGTTGTCTCCTAGTGCCTGGCCCAAACAGGCTTTCATGGATAAGGGGCAGGGGTGGGTTCTAAATTTTTTTACTATCAGTTCTGTGGGCGTAGCTTATTTTGTGGGCACAGCTTGGGGGTAATGTGACTGGGTGGGCGTGGCCAACTTTTTTTTTTTTTTTTTTACTTTTAAAAGCATTATTTCTACAACCTTAAGAGGTTGCAGAAAAAAATGCTTTGAGAAGCCTTTGATGATCAGGCAAGACATCTGGGATTGCCAGAGGCTTTTAAAGGGATTCTTTTTTTCTACCTCTTCAGCTGAAGAGGTTGCAGGAAAACATGCTTTTAGAGGCTTCTGACGATCAGGCAAATCTGCTGGGATCGCCAGAAGCTTTTAAAGGGATTTTTTTTCCTACAACCTCCTCGGCTGAAGAGGTTGCAGAAAAAATGTTTTCAGAAGCCTCTGAAGATCCCAGCTGAGCCGCGTGATCATCAGAGGCTTTTTTTTAACTTTTAAAAGCATTTTTCAGCTGAAGAGGTTGTAGAAAAAATGCTTTTAAAAGTTAAAAAAAAAAAAAGCCTCTGATGAGGTGGGCGAGGTAAGCAAGCGGCGACCGGGCCGGGGACCAGTTAGGGGGCGTGGCCAGCCAATGTTATTACCGGTTCTCCAAACAACTAAAAATTTTTACTACCAGTTCTTGCGAACCGGTGTGAACCGGGAGCAACCCACCACTGATAAGGGGGAACTAGAACTCATAATCTCCTAGTAACTGGCTCAAAGTCACCCAGATGGGTTTCAGGGATAAGGTGGGACTAGAACTCATTGTCTCCTGCTTTCTTGCTTGGTGCCTTAATTATTAGACCAAATTGGGTCTCTTTGCATTCTCTTTTTGCAAAATGAAAAAAAAAAAGATTGTATTTTCTCATGCAAAAAAATATTGCATATTTTTACTTGCGATCTTGTTTAGCTGAATATGGCTCAGTGTGAATTGTTTTCAACCTTCCATCCCTTCCCCTTTGAAGAAACAAACTCAATCCTACTGGCGAATGTTTGTTGTCCCCTGCTGGTGCCATATGACCTCGTGACCAGCCACTGCCGATGTAATCTTCATTCACAGCACTGAACATGGAAGGGATGTTAGGATCTGCTTTAAATTTACAATGTTTTCTGTCTGCACTGCCTGTGGAACAAGATACCAAACAATTCGATTACATTTCCTTTTCAAAAATCAGTTCTGTGCTGAAAGCAACCTACACAATTGCAATTTTTTTAAAAAAAGATATCTAGAGCAGACTTTAAGTAGTTGTAACTATCCCGAGCAGAAAATGTGTCTCCCAACATCCCCATACAGATAGTCTTGAGGTAAACTGAACTGAACTTAAGCCTCTTCAAATGCTGACAAAAATATTCCAAAAGTGTATTCAGTAACAATCTAAGCAGATATTCCATGAGACAGAGGTTCTCTAACGTTGTGGCTTCCTTAAATAATACATGAATTTGTAAGATTCCCTCCATTTTTTTCTTTTTAAAGATCCTGTAACTCCTTGCATCAGGGTAGAGTCAGGGCGACTGAATGGAACTGAACCTTTTCTGGCCGGATGCCCTTCCCGACACCTATGCACAGCTCACAGCAGATATTTTCTCTTTGTGCCCAGAGAAAAAAATATATCTGCTGCTATTTAGGATTGAACTCACAGCCTCCTGATTGTGAGGCTAGAGCTCCATCTCTAGGCCACCATGCTGCTCATAAGATTCCCTCCATGAATGTTAGGATAATTCTAATAATAGTAATGAGGAGGAGGAAGAAGAGGAGGTGATGAAAGTGGATGGGTGGCATAGGATCCCTGTTTTTTTATGGCAATTCAGATAACTTTCAGTAAGGCTGGAAAAGTTTGGAGGCTTGACCACACAAAGCAGGACCAAGTCAAAAATGCAAGCCAAATCATAAAAGCATAAATATGGAAGCCAAAGTTCACCCTATTGGCCACTTCATTGTCCTATTACAGCACATTCCTGATCCAACATGTTGGAGCTGCATTGGAAGTCAGTTCCTATTAGCCATAGGTATCAGGCTCATGCTGAGAACAATGGGATTGTAGTCCACCTAACTGGAAAGCAGGACACAAGTGTCACTCAAGGGGAAACTGACTTCATCAATCTTGGTGTAAAATGATTGGAATAAAGTCCTATAGATAGTCCTCGAATTATAACCATTTGTTTAGCAACCAATCAAAGTTACAACAGCACGCAAAAAAGTGACTTATGACCAGTCCTCACATTTACAACAGTTGCAATGTCCCCATGAGCAAAATTCAGGTACTGGACAACTGTATTTATGACAGCTACATAAATACATGTGATTCCTGAATCACCATTTGCGACTTTCACGGCTTCCGACAACCAAAATCAATTCCAGGCTTGCTTAACAACCATGAGAGTCATTTATCTACCAGGATGATTCACTTAACTTTTTAAAAAGTTGCAAAAGTGATAGTGATTCACTTAACAACCATCCCACTTAACAAGGAAGCTTCTGATCTCAACTATGGTCGCAACTTGAGGATTACTTGTATTCATCTCTAGCTGTTGACTTTCATTCCTCTCTCCTCCCACCACATCACTTCCACAGTAGTCTAGAATGACGCCAAGCCCCTTTCAGTTGCCTGGGGATGATGGGATAGGATTTACTGCACCTTCGATGCAAGCTGACTGGCAGGAAACAGCAGCTTGCAGGGCAGGGCAATTAGAAGTGAAATTATGGCGTACCTCTTGCTTACAAACGTCTCCAAAAAGGAAGCAGGAAGGTGAATGAACTTAAAGAGTTCCAGTGTAAGTGGAAACTTCTGTTCATCTTAGAAAATAACCCCATGCATAGTTCTATGAAAGTAACCTTCACTATACTTAGCCTTATTTTCAGATGAATCAAGATAGTCCCCGACTTACATTCAATTTGAAGTTACAATGGCTCTGAAAAAAGTGACTTATGACTGCTTTTCACACTTTTATTTATTTATTATTTATTAATTATATTTATATACCGCCCTTCTCCCAAAGGACTCAGGGCGGTGAACAGCCAGGATCAAATACATGAATATAAAAGTTAAAAACAATTTAAAAGCAGATTAAATACTTTGGCCCACAATTAAAACACTTACGAATGTTGCAGCATCCCCATGGTCACTTGATGAAAATTCGGACACTTGGCAACTGACTCATATTTATAACAGTTGCAGTGTGCTGGGGGGGGGGGTCACGTGATCCCCTTTTGCGACCTTCTGGCAAGTGAAGTCAATAGGGAAGCTGGTTCACTTAAGAATTAGGTTACTAACTTAACAAATGCAATGATTCACTTAACAAATGTGGCAAGAAAGGTCATAAAATGGGCCAAAACTCACTCACCGTATTTTTTGGAGTATAAGACGCACCTACCTTTTTTTGGTGAGGAAAAGAAGAAAAAGAAATCTGCCTCTTCCTCTGAGCAATTTTGCCTCCTTACAGCAAACAGCCTGCTTTACTTTCAGTTTCGTTTTCAGCATAGCTTGATTAGCACAAGGGGAAAAAAAAGTCTGCTCCCAGTAATTTACCTCTTTGCAGCAAGCAGCAGAGTCCTGTGCAAAACAGCTGAGAACAAATCAGCTGAGTGTCGGGAGGCGGATGCAATCAACTTGTGCTAATTAGGCTGTGCTGAAGCTGAAAGGAGCTGTTTTTTTCTTGCTGTTTGCTCGCAAGGAGGTAAACTGCTGCGAGGCAGAGGCCAAAGGGTGGGGGCCAGTGGGTGGGCGGGGCTACATTCGGTGTATAAGACGCACCTAAATTTTCAACTCCTTTTAGGGGGAAAAGGGTGCGTTTTATACTCCGAAAAATACAGTAAGTATGCATGGGGTTATTTTCTAAGATGAATCAAGGTTTCCACTTACACATACTTTGGATAGGTAAGCTCTTAAGTCTCACTTAGCAACAGAAATTTCAGGCTCATTTATGGTCATAAGTCAAAGACTACTTGTAAAGATAAGATTGCAGCCAGGGGAACAAATCTTCTATTGCAATTCTATGATTCATACATGGCAAGGAGTCCCTCTCTTCTTAGAAGGAAATTAATTACAATATCCAGACAGAGGAACTGTTTAAATACCTGAAGTTTTATATTTGGAAATATGTTCAATCACCCATCTAGGTACTCGTTTTGCCTGATCATAAGAGAGAGCATGATTGGTGTAATATCTGATTTGAGTTCCAGCTGCAGGAAATCCATATCTTTCCAATATAGATTTTGGTCCAGGTTCTAAGAGAGAAAGGAAAAGAACTTTTTTTTGAAACAAAGGCCTAGAGAAATCCCATCATATCTTAAAAATCAGAGCCACCTTTTTACAAATCAGAAAATTATACAGTGTCATAGTCTTTCAAAGATTATATGGCACTGTATAACTGGTTTCAATTTCATATTTTTATAGCAGCAGTAATACAAATAGGTTTAAGTCACCTAAGTGGTCAAAATATGCAATTACCAATAATTGTGCCCTACACTGCAGAAATACAAGGCAGAGAAAACCACTTTTCAGTAGCGCTGGGTGATTTTCATTGTATGAAGGAAGAAAAGAAATGGAAGGTGTATTTTTTAAAATACATCTGGGTCCTAGAGTTTTCATTTGCAACCTTCCTGGGGAGCTTCTGAGAAGCAAGGAGACCAGATTCACTCAATGTCCACGTGATTCACTTAACAACCATGGCAGAAAAAGTCACAACATGGGACATAATTTATTTAACAACTGCCTTGCTTAGCAATGAAAATTTTGGGCTCAATTGTTGTGGCAGGCTGAGGACTATTTGTTACAGCCACTTATTCCGCAACTTACGATGGCGCTGAAAAACAAGACTTAGGACCGCCCCTCAAAGTTGCGCCCAAAGTTGCAGCATCCCCATGGTCACATGATCAAAATTCAGAAGCTTGGCAACCGACTCATATTTATGACGGCTGCAGTTATCCTGAGGCCACGTGATCACTTTTTGTGACCTTCTTGACAAGCAAAGTCAATGGGGAAACCAGATTTACTTTACAACCGTGTTATTAACTTAACAAGTGCAGTGATTCACTTAACAACGGCGGCCAGAAAGGCCATAAAACGGGGCAAAACTCACTTAACAACGGTCTCATTTAGCAACAGAAACGTAGGGCTCAATTGCGGTGATAAGCCAAGGAAGGACGATAAATTGAAGCTGCTATTCCTTCCCATTCATAAGATGGATCTTTGCAAATAATTCTGGGGAACCAAAAATCAAATTCTGACATGACCCTTGGCACAGTAAGCTAAAAACAAATGGCAGGGATCTGATTAATATGAATTTATATACATTGCATTAGATTTGGACACCCATAGATTATGCCAAGAGGAGTGATGGATTGGATACCCCATGTCGATGCAAGGACTGTCTTCATACCGTCAATTCCAAATTACTTCATCACTTTTCCCCCAGTCCAAGTACAACCAGGTCTAAATCTCAGTTTTGCTTTGCTTTTTTTTTAAACGCCTTTGTTCCTTTCGCATGGAACAGCTGCACGAGTATTCCGCACATGCGCACTCGCCCTCTAGCCCAGGGGTCTCCAACCTTGGCCACTTGAAGACTTGTGGACTTCAACTCCCAGAGTTCCTCAGCCAGCTTTGCTGTGGCTGAGGGAATTGACGGAACTCTGGGAGTTGGAGTCCACAAGTCTTCAAGTGGGCAAGGTTGGAAACCCCTGCGAGTCTAGTCTCCGCTCAGCCACGCCCACTTTCCCGCGTCATTTCGCCTTCCCCGGGCGGATCGATCGCCACGCGCTTGCGCAGTCGCCTCCTTACCTCCCAACGGCAGCGGTGTCGATGGCCGCGGTTCTTCTGGCTGGGGCGCGGCGGCACTCGGTGGCCAGTCGGGCTTTCTGAGGAGTTTTTTGGCGAGCAGCCCCGAGACTGTGGCACCCAGGGCCGCTCCGCATACGAAACCGCCGAAGAAGCGGTTCCGAACGAGGCGGGCTCCTATCGCCTCTGCCATCGAGCCCCCGTCGGGAGGGCAGCCAAGCGGGGAGCGAGGCTTTCCTCCGCCCCCTGCACGGACTGCGCAGACTCCCCTCTCTGCCTCTGAAGGGGGGGAGGGGGGGAGAAGAAAAGCGCGGGAAAGTTGTTCTTCCCTCAGCCAGGGCCGTGTTCCCTCGCCCATCATCCCCATCCATCCACAAATACAGGCGGCCCTCCATTTAAAACTGTTCGCATAGTGATCATTCAGCGTTACAAGGGCACTGAGGAAAAAGCGATTAAGGACCATTTCTCACACTTATGACCATTGCAGCAAATCCCCATGGCCATCTGGTCAAAATTAAGCCTGGCTTGTATTTATGACTTAAATTTAGTGTCCCTTAATCCCCTTTTGTGACCTGGCAAGCAAGGTCAATGGGGAAGCCAGATTCGCTTAACAAACGTGTCACTAACTTAAATGCAGTGATTAACTTAATGCTGATAAGGGTTGTAAAATGGGACAAAATTCACTTTAAAATGTCTCGCTTGGCAATAAAAACTAGATCCGTGCCAGTCCGGCTTCAGGCCTGGGTACAGCACGGAGACGGCATTGGTCGCATTGGTGGATGATCTCTGGAGGGCTCGGGACAGGGGTTGTTCCTCTGTTCTGGTCCTGTTAGACCTCTCAGCGGCTTTTGATACCATCGACCATGGTATCATGCTGCGCCGGCTGGAGGGACTGGGGGTGGGAGGCACCGTGTTGCGGTGGTTCTCCTCCTATCTCTCTGACCGGTCGCAGTCTGTGTTGGCAGGGGGGCAGAGGTCGACTTCGAGGCGCCTTGCTTGCGGGGTGCCGCAAGGGTCGGTCCTCTCGCCGCTCCTGTTCAACATTTATGTGAAGCCGCTGGGTGAGATCATCCGTGGTTTTGGGGTGCGATGCCATCTGTACGCTGATGACACTCAGCTGTACATTTCCACCCCAGACCACCCCAATGATGCCCTCGAAGTGATGTCCCAGTGTCTGGAGGCCGTGCGGGTCTGGATGGGGAGGAACAGGCTTCGGCTCAACCCTTCCAAGACCGAGTGGCTGTGGATGCCGGCGTCCCGGTATAGCCAGCTGGTGCCATCGCTGGCTATTGGGGGCGAGTCACTGACCCCCACAGAGGGGGCTCGCAACTTGGGCGTCCTCCTGGACACACGGCTGTCTTTAGAAGAGCATATGACGGCCGTGGCCAGGGGGGCTTTTTATCAGGTTCGCCTGATACGCCAGTTGCGCCCCTTTCTGGATCGGGACTCCTTGTGCACAGTCACTCATGCCTTGGTTACGTCACGCCTGGACTACTGTAACGCTCTCTACATGGGGCTCCCCCTGAGGAGCACCCGGAGGCTCCAGCTGGTGCAGAATGCGGCTGCGCGGGTGATTATGGGAGCGACGTGGCGCTCCCACGTAACACCTCTCCTGCGCGAGCTGCATTGGCTCCCGGTGGTCTTCCGGGTGCGCTTTAAGGTGTTGGTTCTCATCTTTAAAGCGCTCCATGGCTTAGGGCCAGGGTATTTGCGAGACCGCCTGCTGCTACCGATAACCTCCCACCGGCCAATACGCTCTCACAGAGAGGGCCTCCTCGGGGTGCCGTCGGTCAGGCAATGTCGGCTGGCGGCCCCCAGGGGGCGAGCCTTCTCTGTGGGGGCACCCGCCCTGTGGAATGAGCTGCCTCCTGGAATACGATTGATCCCGGACCTCCGGACCTTCCGTAAAGCCCTGAAGACGTTTTTATTTCATCAAGCCGGCCTAGCCTAAATGGTTTTTAATTGGGATTTTAAATTTTATGGATTTGGGGTTTTAAATTTGGGTAGCCAATGATTTAATTCTTTTAATTATCTTAACTTTTGCATTTGTATGTTTTTTAATCTTGGCTGTTCACCGCCCTGAGTCCCTTCCGGGAGAAGGGCGGTATACAAATTAAATTAATAAATAAATAAATAAATAAAAACGTTGGGCTCAACTGGGGTCGTAAATTGAGGACTACCTCTAGGGCTACAGTTTCAAGAGCAGGGGTCATAACCAATTAATGCAGTGGTTCTCAACCTTCCTAATGCTGCGACCCTTTAATACAGTTCCTCATGTGGTGACCCCCAACAATAAAATTATTCCTAAAACCATTGAAAATATGTGTTTTCTGATGGTCTTAGGTGACCCCTGTGAAAGGGTCATTCGACCCCCAAAGGGGTCCCGACCCACAGGTTGAGAACCACTGAATTAATGGAATAAGAGTTGGAAGGGACCTTGGAGGTCTTCTAGTCCAAACCCAAGCAGGAACCCTGTGTCATTGCAGACAAATGGCTGTCCAGTCTCTTTAAAAGCCTCCAGTGATGGAGCACCCACAACTGAAGGCAATTTGTTCCGGATTCATTGTTCTCATTGTCAGAAAGTTTCTTAGTTCTAGGTTGGATCTCTCCTTGATAAGATAACCCTTACTACTTGCCCTGCCCTCAGGAGCTTTGGAGAATAGGTTGACCCCTCCTCTTTGTGGCAGCCCCTCAAATATTGGAACACTGATACCATGTCACTGTAGTTCTTTTCGTTAAACTAGACATACCCTATTTCTTCATGTGTTTTAGTGTCCCCTAATCATATTCGTTGGTTTACTCTGCACTCGTCTGGAGTCTCAACATCTTTTTTTATATCATGGTGACCAAAATTGAATAGATAGGCAGTTATTGTTCTCAAGGAGCCATATGAGAAATGTTATGGAGGACTACTGCCAACCACCCCCTGCTGCTGCTGCGGAGGGCTGGACAAGGACAAGCAAAGGGCCAAATATAGCCCGCAGACCTTAAAATGTCCAATTCAGCTTAGGAGTGTGCATAATATCCTTGTAACTCTCTGAAATTTGGCCTGAAGGCATAAAAATAAAGCCACAAAGCAGACAGGGCAATCTCTTGGATGTAGTGCCACTGGGAAATCCCAGTCTGTAGACTGGACTGAACTTGAACTGCTATCTCAAACAGACCACTTCTATGTCACAGTGAAGGGGGGGGGAAAACATGGCTGCATCCATGAAATCATCCAGATCTGAGCTGGGTTTAAAGGAGCCTTTAGTGTCAGCAGATAGAGCATCTCAATTCAGCCTACAAGCAGTTTGGAGTGCCTTTTTTTTTTTTTTTTTTTGTCAGGTGGGAGACCAACCAGGAAATTGTGGCCAGAGAAAAAAGGGGAAAACCCTGGGAAACGAACGCCGCAAACCATGTCTATGTTGTTTCATAAAAAGTCACCAGGAGTCAAGCTCAGTTTGAAAGTGTCTTTGCTATCTTGCATAGTAGAGGTAGATTTTTCTTCTTATTCTGGGCTACAGTTTGTGGGTGAAGTTGGCTGGATTCCCAAATCTATAATTGGTTGTAAATCCCAACAGGTTCACACCCTATATCAAGGCAAAACTATACCAGTCTCACATGGTTTAGTGTCATCTGTGTACTCAATAGCAATTTAATTTTGCAAGGAAGCCCTTTTTAAGAAGTATTTGAGGTTCAACTACCCTGTTTCCCCGAAAATAAGACATCCCCTGATAATAAGCCCAATCGGGCTTTTGAGCACATGTGCTAAAATAAGCCCCCCCAAAAAATAAGCCCTCCCCGAAAATATTTAAAGAGGTGGAAATCAGGTAAGATGGCAAAAGGAGCCCCATGTTGCTCCATGTGCCCCAAAATAATAAGACCTCCCCGAAAATAAGGCCAAGCGCTTATTTTGGGGTTCAAAAAAAATATAAGACAAGGTCTTATTTTTGGGAAAACACAGTGATATCCATAGGGGGAAGGCATCAAAAAAATTAAGATAGTAGTTGTGACACTAATTCAAGTAGTTGTGACACTAATTTTGCATGTGCCGCATTGCATGTATAGGTGGTCCTCTACTTCAAACCATTTGTTAGCAACTTTGAAGTTTCAGTGGCACTCATAAAATGATTTAGGACCAGTCCTCACACTTACGACCATTGCAGCATTGCCCACTGCCGTATGATCAAAATTTGGTACCTGGCAACCAGCATATATTTATGAAGATTGCAGCTTCTCGGGTCACTATCTGTAACTTTCCAATTGGCTTCTAACAAGCAAGATCAATGGAGAAAGCCAGATTCACTCAATGTGAAGCATTGTGTGCTTCACTTAACAAGTGCAGTACTTTGTTTAACAATTGTGACAAAAAAGGTAAGAAATTTGGACAAAAATCACAAATGTTTTGCTTAGCAACAGAAATCTAGTCTCAACTGGGTATATAAGTCAAAGAGTACCTTTATGTATAATTATCATACTTCTATCTTGACTTTTGTTAAACCCTGTGCCCCACCCGTGGATTCCTGTGGGTTCAGTTCAGCAAAGGTATTTTTTAAGCAGAGTTCATTGAATTAAACATGGTTGGATTTGCACTTGTCTAGTGTTTCTCTTTTAAAGAATATATGGGTGTATGTGATGGGTCCACGTAGTTGCTTTTCATGTTTAATTACATCCCCATGGTGAAAATAAACATCAAATAATTGATTGCATGGGTGAGAAGAAAAAAATACCGCCGGTAAGTGGCAATAAAATGTGAAAGATCTTCAATTAAAGCTGAAATGTAGCAATAGCAACTGCCAAGCACTACTGTCCTAAATGGATACTTGATACCTTTATGTGTGCATTTCAGTTTTGAAATTTGATTAGTTTTTAATGTTTGAACTTCACTATCACTTAACTGTTTACAGCCCTCCCTTCATATGTACAATTCGACTTTCCCACTCCTGTATTTATCAACTGAGAACACTTTTATTCATCTGATGGAAATGGAATGTAATCCTGATGTTAAAGTATGCCACATTAAATATATTGATCTTTGAGTGCCAATGTTGAAGTATATCTGATCAAAATTACACTTTAAAAGCTTGAGATATTTCCCATGAAATTAGTAATTGTAGGAGTTGCCAAAAAAGCCATTCAGGCTTGTGAAAACTGTGTGAGAAGAGTGTGTGCATCAGAGGCAACGTGTTCCAGTTTTCCAGTAGCATATAGTTAATAAAAATTATATGCCAGCTATTAAATCAGTTTAGAAATAACT